ATTATTAGTTATTTAACATCAAATAACAATTGCTAATCATTGTATAACCAAACAATTACATCAACTAAAATCTGTTATCTACAATCTGCTACTCAATTTTTGTTATCCATCAATCACCATCTGTTAACCATCACCTGCTATTTGCTAGCCCCTAAATTTTATAATATACCAAACATGCCCTAGTAAAGGGGGTTAGCTAATTTGTATTTGGACTAGTAAAGTTCTTCTCTATCAGATCTTTGTAACATTTTTCCGTGATAAACATCATGAAATTTACAAGTTTTGACTAGCAAAGAGTTTTCTTTGATGTGAGTCTATGACATTAACGTTCAAAGATAATATTATTAATTTTCCTTTCCAAACTTTGAATATCAGACATTGTAAATTCATGGTTGATGACTCATTTATTTCTTTTAATTACTTCTAGGTAATTAAGTGGATGTTGAACAAAGAGTAGGGAAATACAATAGGGACTTATGAACTTTAACACCTCTAGTTAAATCTTGACTCAACAAAGTATGGGAGGGATCTTAGGCATAGTCAACACACGTTAACCTTTATAAACGTGTTTTAAGATTGTGAGTCTAATGAATTGAAGCAGATAATATCAAGAGTGGGTCGGATCATTACATATGGTATTAAACCCACTTTATGTGACATTTTGAATGGTCATGGGGCAAACATTAGCACAAACATCGAGTTCTAAAAGGTGGCATTTTAATTGAATCTCTCTTATACTTTGTTGGTGTGGGATTTACCTAGGAATGTCTTTATCAGTGTAGGATTTGCCTAGCTAGGGATGTCACAAAACAGGTAATCTAAGCTTTGGATATAGACAATAAAATAGGTGAAGCACATGAATTTTGGAAAAGAAACTTGGTTTAGATCTCCATGTAGTACCTTGGAAGTAAGATAATCTTATCATCATTGTATACTATTGAAATAACATGCTAGAGAGTAGAGAATCTTGTAAAGGTACAAATTTGACTTAATACTAAATCCTATGCTTATTAGAAAGTGAGAACATGCAACAAGTAACAGGTTTGTTTTTGGTCTTATTGACTAGCTAATGCCTTGATCCATCTTGGTTTTTTAAATTTTATGTCTTCCTCACATATACAGCGTGTTTCGAATGCTAATACTTAATCTTGTACTATTTGATGGCAAGTGCTAAAAGCATGTCGTGTATAGACGAATTGTTAGGGAGTCATTAGTTATTGGTACTTGCATTCTTGGTACCAAAATCAAATTTAAGTCAACAAGTTGACCAATTGGATCCATATCCCCTGTGTGCATTCATCAAACATTAGCACCTAAATACATTAAATGGGAAAGCCTGTTGAATTGAATTCATAAAAATAAAGATAGAGATAATGCTTAAGAAAATATCGTTATTCACAGGGAATGAATTTCATTTGTTTGCTTATTTTTATAGTTAACAAGTACTTCTTGTATTCTATTGGGCTAACTTTTGTTGGTGCTATGACTACTAATATTATTTTTAAAGCTTTTGGGGGCTTAAAAATCTTTGGTCATAAATCTCCAAAGAAATCAACAGTGCAGAAAGTGACAAATGCATATGAGATGTTAAAAAGAGAGGGTAATGGAGAAGTACAAAGATCTTCTTACAATGATAGAGAAAGGTCATTAGAAATCTAAGATGGGAGGGGCTCATCAAAGAAAAAGAAGAATTGAGGTATAAGAGACTTTGTCTATGTGTGTAGATTTCACCTCCTTTGTGTTAGTTATCATCTCACCTAGATAATTGTCTTCTATTATGCCTCTCATGCATTGGCTAGTACCATCACAAAGTTTCACTTTTTTGAATTGATAGTTCATCCATCATGCAAGATTTTGGGGTTTTACGTAAGACACAAAATGATGACTTGAAACCTCATGCATTTAGCTTAAACATTTTTTATGTCTTTAATTTTATAAGATTATCCTTTGATTTGATTGAGTGTAAAATATTATGAAGCTTTCTTTCCTAACTCTTGATGTTTCGCTGAAATTGTTTTCAATTGTTTATGTGATAGTGTGGAAGTAAGAAAAACCATATGCGACCTAAGGCCTAATTAGCAAGATGTATGTTTTCCATCCTACAGAGACTATCTTAAATCCTTTCACTCTCAATATCAAAAATAAAGAAATTGATAACCTATTTGCATGTTTAGAATTATATCTTGACATATAAGAAAGAGTTATATTTATGAGCATTGGTGTCTATTATTATTTTGCTGTTAAACCCTCATGTTTAGATCTAGGTCAAGCTAGCTATTATTGTCCAACTTAAATAGTATTTGATTCATTTAATTTCAAGATTTTGTTAAAGGTTTTAGAATTTGTTTACATGTTCTAAAACTTCGTGACTTTCCTACATTCAAGGAGGGTTTAGAAAGCAACAATGTTCTAGAACATTTCTAGAACTTATATAATTAGTTTTGAAGGTTCTAGAACTTAAGAATACATATTAGAACTTTTCAAGTTCTTTATATGGCCTTGGAAAGTTGGATAGCAATAATATTTTGGAACTTAAAACTAAGTTATGGAACTTTATAATAGTTTTTAATGTTTGACTTAGAAATCTTTATATGTAGAATCCTAGTCATGAATATAAAATCTTAAGTCATGCAAGATTTAAAATTATTGATTGTTGTGACCAAAGAAACATATTAAAGATGTGATTTAAGTTCTTCAAAAAAAAGGAAGTGTAAATTTCTTCATGAATTTGTTTTCAAAAATAAATGTAAAAACCTTTAAGGCTGAATATATCATTAAAAAAAAAGTAATCAATGTGTTGAGATCTTTTATCTAAAAGCATAAATTCTTAATTTCTCAATTTACACTTAATTTTAGCACTCATAAAAATTAAATACAACATCACCATAATCAGCACTAGTAATTTCTCGGTTCTAGAATACAAAATTTTTTTATTTCTAGAAAAACAAGATCCTACATTACTATTGCATTAGACAAGGAACTCCATTTTTTTATGTAAAACTCAAACAATGTAAATTTTTTACAAATGAAAATAAATAAAAATTTTCAAAATTGATAACCAAAACTATTCTTTTATTTATTAGCAAACTTTTTATTTTAATTTACTGTTGCTTAATTTTTAACAACCAAAGCAGATAACTTTAGTTTTTCTTATTATTATAATAAATATATTTACTTTTATAGTTTGAACTATAATATTAAAAATTATTTAATAACAAAGATAATTCCTAAATTTACATATATATCCTTTATAAATAAATTTAAATTATATAATATAACACAATTCAAATAACCCTAAATTGATGTTTTCAAGTGTAATATGAATTATAAAAAATATTTCTCATACTTTTTAATAATTATTTATCTGCACTATAATTTTGAAAATTTTAAAAATACATGTACACTCCGTAAAATAAAGTCTATCTCTTGGATGGGAACCGACAGCCAACATGGCCTCACAAGTTTGCTATCCTCACCTTAACCACATCCAACACAAAGAGAATCGTCTTCCAAGAATTCCTCCTTCTCCAGCTCAACAACACAACCCACAGAACGCATACCCCCTTAATCAAGAGACACCACAAGTATCACTTTGTCTGGGCAAGAGAAAGCTGAATTTCTCATTTCTTGCACTGATCCTAAATGGGGTTTTCCCAAATAATTCTAAAGCTATGTCGGACCAGGAACTGAAACTGGAGACATACACAGATTCTAAGGAGGGCTTCACTCTCCTCAGACCCTCTTCCTATATAATGGTATGTTCCCTCTCATATAATTAGAATGTGGAGTTAGTCTGCGCCCACTAATTCTGTTCTAATTTCTCTTTCTTCTGAATAAATGGAGGTAAGGTTGATAAAGCAGGGGCAACCGTTCTATTTCAGGAGGCAAAAAATGGAAGTAATAATGTTGGGGTTGTGGTGAACCCAGTTCGTCTTACCAGCCTCGGAGAATTTGGGACTCCTCAGTTCGTGGCAGAGAAGCTTATCCAAGCAGAAAAGCGCAAGGTACTTTTTTTTTTGTTCAAATTCAAGCAAAAGAAAAATGTAATATGTCCGTTTTAGTTGATTCCATCCAATCATGGGTATGCGTTTGAGATCAACTAATTGCGGATGAGTTCAATATAGTTGTTAATTTGATTGATATTAGGATGTGTGATTGAAGGTAACACCTGAATTAAATAAAAGCTTAGAGATTCAAGCTTTGCCTTTAATGCCTTAACTTCTGAAGATTCAATACTCTAAACCTGTATCCATTTAGGAAGAATTATCTGTGAGGAAAATCTTCATTGTCAAAATTGCTGAAGTTCATCAAGCCCTTCATGCCAGTCATAGATATCAACAATATTATCCTTGTTCAGTATTTAGTTAAATTTTGCTATATTATAGCCAAAACAGTAGGATCGAAAGTGGAATTGCTTCATTTTCAGCATCCTTCACCATCATTAGTTCTTTACCTTTTAACGTCAATGAATTTTCAACAGACCTTAGCCAGCGATACAGTTGGATGTGTTTTATAGCTTCTGGCACCATACCCTGGTCCATTAGCTCACTGGAGTTCTTGTTCCCGTCCAAAAATAGTTTCAAATGAGTGCTGGTTGTAAGCAGTGGAAGTTATGCCTCAGGCAGATAGAACATCTCTGAGGGGTGTGTGGATAGTACTGCTCTAAGGTGTGTGGATAGAATTGCTCTGAGGTGTGTGGATCACTTTGAGGGAGGCATTGTACCCCCACTGTACCATTAGAGCCTCTAACGCTCAAATGAATTGTGCAAGATAATTTTGTTCATAAATAGGCCAAATATTTATTCTACATCTTTTTAATCATACTCTTGTGATTCTTTTTTTATATCTTTAAGCGGATATGATCAAGTTAGGCATGGTTAGGCTTCCATTTAGTGTCCTACTACGAATTGTTTATGGTTTTTAATTTTGACTTATTTTGTTTTTATATTTAGTAACAAATACCATTTTTTTCTTTCTTTTTTTTTTTCTTTCCCTGGTTCTCATGATTCTATGGTGACATGCAAAGAATTTTGCTAATGTATACCATTAATTGTTTTGTATACAGGAAAGTACAAAGGGTGCCGAGGTAATTGGAGTTGCAGAGCGTGCGGGGAATGGAGGTCTGCAAGTATATGAATTCGAGTACAAGGTTGATAGCACCAGGGGAGGAATGAAGAGGATCTTCTCAGCTGCTTTTGTGGCATCTAAGAAGCTCTATCTTCTAAATATTGCTCATTCAGACAAGACAGAAAGTCCTCTTGATGCTCATACAAGAATGATGTTGGAACAAGTTCTTCATTCCTTTGATGCAGCACCCGTTACATGACTTCATTGACACATTTTATTGACACAGCATAAGATTCCATTGTTGTGCTTCAGTCTCTTAAGTCTTAGGTAATTGCTACACATTCATTTTATATCTTTGCTTATGTTGGAGGGGAAGATACCGGCTGTAAGAGACAATGTTGACATTTAGCATTGCATTTGGATGAAGCATTGGGAATTTCTATGGAATTTATAAAATATAATCAGAGAAGTTCTCAGCCAAATAAGGTAGTGAGAGATTGGGAAAATCAGATGTGAATCTCCTTTTAGTGGAAATAAAGGATTCTCAAGTTGAGTTGTATAGTACACAAGTAAAGAAATGGAAAAGAATTAAGTTTTATTTTGCAACCAAAAATAATAATGAAAAAAATACTAAAATGTGTTTCGAGTGTGCACTGTACTATCTTTAATGAACTTTCTCTTTGTTAATTTTTTTTATGGATTTATTTTTTTAATTCATTAATAATATTTTGATAATTTTAGTATCTAAATTGTATTTTTTTTATTTAGTTTAGATTGAAATTTTGGATTTTGATTTAAAAAAATAAAACAGAAGATACTGAGGGATTTCAATTCATTTGAGTCGATATCTAATGCTTTATTTTTCAATTTTTCAATTGAAGTGGAAACAAAAAGCTACTTGCTCAGTATGATTAATTTGTCTCATTTTATTCATTTATGATTAAAAAAAATTTATTTATTACAATAACTTAAAGTTATCTTTTCGTCTCACCCTTTTTTTAGCATAATTAAATAAAAAAAAATCTCAACTGGGATTTTATCTCTTTTAAAATTAAAATATTAATATTTAATGTCTTATTAATTAAAAATGGGGCAATTAAAAACAGACTAAAGAGAATAAAATTTTACTATTCAAATTATAGCAGACTAGAAACACCAAAGATTGGATGATGGTAAGCAAAAAAATATTTTTTTCAATGCAAACCGCATTGGACTACAAAAGAATAATTAATTATCAGCCAGAAGCTGGTACTACCAACTAAGCCATTCATTATCACTTATAAGTATCAACAATTGATAAACAAAATCTTGTAGTTTAAATTATATTAAATTATAAGTTAAAATTTCTTTGTGGTCCCTGAACTATTGTACGGACCTCCGATTTGATCCCTGAACTAAAAAAATCCCTGATTTAGTCCTTATTGTTTACCATTTTTACCCCGATTTGGTCCTTCCATCAAATATCAACCTGCGTATCCCGTTACTTGACGAGGAAAACGATGACCTGTTAAAACATTTTGACACCTAGGATGTATAGTGTGAAAAAAAATGAGATGGCAAAAAAATCTTAAAAAATTTCTTATTCTTTTTTTTTTCTTCGTTTGTTTTTCCTTTTTCCCTTTCTTCTTCCTCTCCCTTTCCTTTAACCTTCTGCAAACCCTAATTCCTAATATTAAATTCGA